CATGACAGCCAGTTCGTTTTTGAATTTAAATCCACGCTGCTGTCGATGTAGCAGCGCTGCTGCTCATGTAAAAGCTAAATCGCTGTTGAATTTTCATTCACACTGCTGTTAATGGAGCAGATACAATGCCACACAACTGTAAAAAATTATGGTCATACTTACATGCTTATGTAAATAGCTGATAACTGCTTAACTGGTTTCAAGTAAATGATACAAAAACCGTAGATAATATTCCGGTCAAAGTAACATTTACAGACTAAATCAGTTTCACAATGAGTTAATTTCACAAAAATTTTAACAGTTTAAATGCACAGAAACACTACACAAAGTATACATCTTTGCAGTTCTCGGTGGGGCAGAATTGATCATGGCCTTGGGGTCGTCAACAAATTATGTGAGGCACATTTTAAACCCTTCCTCTCCATCCGTTATTTTCTTTTTTCCAAATAACCGAACTTTTCACTCGCAGCCTGGTCAGATACCGCACAGACACTGTATTACACATTGAAACACTTTACGCCATTAAGACAATGTCACGTTGGCATCATCAATAAAAAACAACGTAAGAACCAAACAGCAGATCGTGCTTATGAGTTAAAAACACCGAAAATGTATTATAAAAGGTTTCAAAAAATTCTACCAAGATTAAGATTTGCTAAATTATCACTTCATTTCATTTCAAAACAGCCTAAATTTCTTTGAACGAAAGAAAAGGAAAAAATCACACAATGGAATTGGGTCGGAAAGTATAGAGGACAGGGCTAATGGTATAATCTACAGGAAACGAAATCAAAAGAGTGCCTGCATATAAATATGTAAGGCACGCTAAAAATAATAATTTGATGCACTGGACGCAAACCTAATTGAGTTGAGAGTGCGTGTAATGTCAATGGTGAAGTTGAAACCAAAAAGCACAAATATACGGCAGCAGAAATTTCGAATTGAACGGATTCATGATGATGCCTCAAAAAATGGCGTCTGCCCGCAACTGATTACAGTGTGCCCAAACTTGCTTATATCGTAAGAGTTACTTTCCTATGGAGCTACTAATTTTGCAGATCGCGCACTGAGTATCAAAACTAATCACTTTCTTCGCCAAAATTCACTCGCAAACACAATTTGAGCACGATTTCGAAACGCAAGCGCAAGACTTCTCTGACTCAAAACCACTGACTGTTGAGCAAACGAAATCCCTTTAAACAATGACATGGCGGCCTCAGCGAACAGACTGGAATGCGGGAACAACGCCGAAAGAAGAAACAACCGAACGCCAGGCCCGGGCGGTTGGAGTTCTGAGAATTTCCCTGACCGGGCCCTTTGTCAGGACGGCGCGCAACCCTCGAGAAGGAGGGTGGGCAGTGTGGCGGGTAGGGTAGGAGAGGTTTTCTGCGTCACCGCTCGCAGCGGGGCGATCGACAACTGTATACAACTGCGCATGCGCGCTGCGCCGATCGCGCGGGACTGGCCGGGATGGAATGCTCCGTGCAACGGACAGCATTTTACTGTCAACTCGCTGTTAAATGAGAGGCTGCTATTTCGACACCCTCGCTGTTGCTTTAGCAGATTATTTCTGCAAATTTAACGACCTTCAAAACATTAGACCAACACCTGCACGAGTGTAAATTTAAAATCCAAACGAATGTCAAAATAACGTGTGGACTGTAAAATCAAAAGTCAATGACAGTCATTCCAAAAGCTTCAGGAACTGTTGATTTAATGACTGCGCCTGACGTTAACTCAGCAGTCGTGTGATGATGGAATAACATACAGAATGTTATTTCAAAAGCATCAATAAGATGTTGAGCTAACAGAGTTGCACACTTTTGTTTCAACATACTTAAAATGTTAAACTATCAGTCACGACAACTAAAAGAACAGAGAAACGTCAAACAAATTTAACATTCAATGCGACTGTTAAAATGACAGGTCTTTTTTTTCCGTGTAACTGATAAATTTTCGGGTAATCACTACACTGTAGGCAATTTTTTCAAAATTCACACGAAAAAATAGTCACGGTGCTGATGACGTAGCCTCCTGTTCACTGGGCTCCTGCATTTTCTTCGTTATACAGGGTGTTCGAAAAGTCCCCTCCCCCCTCTAACTTTTGATCTAATTGAGGTAGAGATTTGAAACTTGGAGGGTGTTCCTAGATCAAAGGGAGCTACTTTTTGACCTCCCCAGAATTTTGGGGGGCCCCATTTTGGGGGGGGTTACGGACCCTAACTTTTAATTTTCAAATGAGAAGACCCCCTTTGTGATACCTTGTTCGAAAGAGCATATAAAAAGAAAATTTTTCGTGCAAACCGGAAGTCATTATCTCAAACCGTTTCAAAATGGCGGCCGGTCAAAGTTCCAAATGGCCGAAAATTGGCACCTGTGCTATTTGCACATGGATTTGCTTGAAACTCGGTATCTAGGGGTATTTTGGCACGAGAAAAACGAATTTGACGTTAGATTTTCAAAAAAACCCTAATTTTTCAAAATGGCGACCGGTTTAGGCTCAAAAGGGCCGAAAATTTGACAAACTCGATTTTATTGCCAATGGATTCACCTGAAATTCGGTATCTAGGGGTATTTTGACCCGAGAATAACGAATTCAACGTTAGATTTTTAAACAAACCCTAATTTTTCAAAATGGCCGCCGATTAAAGTTCAAAATGGTCAACAATTGGCAACCTCGACTTTTTGCCGAAAGATTCGCCTGAAACTCGGTGAAATAACGTCGAATTCGTTTGTCTCCCACCCAGATACCCTCAAACACCGAGTTTCGGGCGAATCTATCGGCATAAAGTCGAGGTTGCCAATTGTTGACCATTTTGAACTTTAATCGGCGGCCATTTTGAAAAATTAGGGTTTGTTTAAAAATCTAACGTTGAATTCGTTATTCTCGGGTCAAAATACCCCTAGATACCGAATTTCAGGTGAATCCATTGGCAATAAAATCGAGTTTGTCAAATTTTCGGCCCTTTTGAGCCTAAACCGGTCGCCATTTTGAAAAATTAGGGTTTTTTTGAAAATCTAACGTCAAATTCGTTTTTCTCGTGCCAAAATACCCCTAGATACCGAGTTTCAAGCAAATCCATGTGCAAATAGCACAGGTGCCAATTTTCGGCCATTTGGAACTTTGACCGGCCGCCATTTTGAAACGGTTTGAGATAATGACTTCCGGTTTGCACGAAAAATTTTCTTTTTATATGCTCTTTCGAACGAGGTATCACAAAGGGGGTCTTCCCATTTGAAAATTAAAAGTTAGGGTCCGTAACCCCCCCCCCAAAATGGGGCCCCCCAAAATTCTGGGGAGGTCAAAAAGTAGCTCCCTTTGATCTAGGAACACCCTCCAAGTTTCAAATCTCTACCTCAATTAGGTCAAAAGTTAGAGGGGGGGGAGGGGACTTTTCGAACACCCTGTATACTTACAGAACTTTCAGATACTTACAGAACAGAACCTCGGTCGTGAGGACAGAATACTCTGTAAGCTGAAAAAAACTTCTGTAAGCTATAAAGATAGCTATTCTTTCAGTGATGGGCAAATATTTCAAAACCATTCATCCAACACTCTGCTCATCAGTCATCATTGGACGGATCTGCGCGTTGACCTCCGAAAGCATATTTTGTATTATCAAGAAGATATCAGAGCGGGGTCTCTAAAATATATTGTCTCTGCGAACGCGTAATTCGCGGTATTTCCTGGCTTTTTATAACATTTTCTGGGTTTCCCGAACCGCCAGAACCCTGTCAATTTAAGTGATTGTCATTTTTGGTTGCTCCTTGTATGCAGCGGTACAAAGCAATTTAAACACATTAAAAATCTCCGACTTTACTTACGGTCATATTTTCTTATTTATTATTTCATGATAAGTACATTGATAGTTAACATTGTCCAGGGGTCTTTTGGAACGTGCCGTTCCTTTTCAGCATTACAATAATATTTTAGAAAAGTTACAACTCTGACTTTATCACCCGCAGGATTACATGAACATGATACAAACTAACGAATCACATACTGGTGGTATAACTTAATACTTAAAGAGCTACTTCTATGATTAAAATAAGCCAAGTCTTTTAGAATCCATCACATTCACCAGTTAAACGACCATCAGATTATCGAAGACGTGACATAGTTATCTTTGAACGATCAATGCTTTTCTCAAAAGATAGAGCGTGCCATTCTTCGGTCACTTTTTCAGATCCGCACATATATGAAGGAATTAAGTTCACATTAAACTTTTAAGATGCTATGCATTTGGAATTGTTTTAATTCAAAGAAAAATTAGACAACATTTAATTAATACAAAGAGGATTGACATTCGTGGATTGACAGATTGAATGATTTGAAAAGTGAGGTTAATCGTGTGGCGAGGCTTACGAACGTTCCTTGCAAATCCTTGGCTGCATAATGATTAGCTTTAGTTAATATGAAATTTTATGTTGTATGTGTTGGTTTTTTTTGTGTTTTATGGTATTGGTTTAAATATTATTCAGTGCTCCGAGTGAACAGTAGAGATGAGGGTAGATATCGCTGATTGATGAAGAAACCGCACAGTACGGCTACCACGACTGATGAAATCATACCTTTCAATTCTGCCGTGCTAAGGAAAAACGCCGTATGAGCCTTTAGACGTTGCCAGATTTACTTAATTAAAAACCAAATTTACCGGTAGTATTTTGAATTTTTTTTTTTTTTTTTCAAAATGTTCCGACACTTTTCTACGCAATTTAATCTAAAATATCTAAACATTTTAAGGAAAAATATGCATTATTGTCGTTAAAAACACCTGTTTCATCAAGGGAAATTTGGCAACTCTCGAATGTTCATACGGCGTTTTTCCTCAGCACGGCAGATTGGGCGTATCTGTGTTAATATTGGACGTATTTCTATCAAACGGAACCATGTGCATTAAGGCATGAACCCTAAGACGGATATGTGCATAACAGGGCCCACGTCATAATGCACATAGTTCTGTTTAATAGAAATAATTCTATTGGATGTATGTATCTTATTTTTTTTTTTTTTTTTTTGCTTTCCCTGAGCGTTAATTATCAAAACACGGATGCGTAAGTATCGTGACAAACCCATGAAAAACAAACGCCTCTCATCTACCAACTTTGCGCTCCTGTTTTTCAATGTTCCGTTCGATGGTATGAATATTTTTGTTTTGATTTTTCATGATAGAAATTGCGTCGCATGGTGGTAGCCAATTTGAGCTGCATGCGAAATTATGAAACCGGATTTCCCACCCATAAAACTGAAACCTTTTTTGCCGTGGTATGCTGTTAAAAGTAAAAAACTCAAAAATTCTCGAGATCTCTCACACGATTTGGGAAGTGAGGAAAAGTAGACTTTCTTAATGCGCTCATTCTGATTTCCGAGTCAATACTTATATTCAAAGCATAAAGGAGTGTCGCAATTCATATTGAGCTAGCTGATTTTCTTACAAAATACTGGTGTTTTATTCTTTATTGTTACTCTAGCTTAATTAGTCCTATTTACTGCTTCATTTATTATACGTCACTAGCCTAGAATGTATAACTATGTTTGACAATTCTCGACATCAGTTTGCTCTAAATTTGTAATTTTTCACAAATAGATTTTGATACCCGTGATATCCGCAATATGTTTGCTCGTCAATTGTTTGAATTTTTGGTCTTTTTCATCGTAATAATGGTTGATAGAACGGTCGGACCAGTTTGGCACGTAATCCGTTCCGTGTGCTTTATACTGAGACAGATCGAAATTCCTCCAAGTTTGCTTCACATAATTCAAGACGTCCTTCCCGTTGTAAAAAGTTACATTCCTCAAGTTCTTGTGCCTATGTGAGTTGTAGGCAGTACGCAAGCGCTTGCGATTCCTGTGCTTTTCCGAAAATTTAAAATTATGGCTCTCCAAGTAATCCTTGAAAACCTTCGTAGAGGGGCAGGAGCACCAGTAGCCGATTCCGTATTTCTTAAGAACTTTTCCCTCCGAAACCGGATAGACATTGCCCTCGTCACCAGAGAAAAACCCATCTCGCTGGTAGCAGAATGTTTGGCACCACTGCGGCGAAATTGACCATGCTGCAAAACACAGCGATAATTCAACTTGATTGTAATTTTAACAGTAGTATAGCTATCATTTCACCTCTTATATTTTTTTTTCAACTGCACACTTTGTGGCTGTTGTTAGTGCGTTTAACAGCGCACTTGGACTTTCACAACTTTCTCCCTGCTGATGAAGAATGAGTCTGCTGGTGTTTAGCTCCGCGTCAAATCAAAAAGCTCATCTCACTCGGGAAAATCGAAGGCTGAACAAATTGGAACACTTGACCAACGAAAAACTGGCGAAGTAAAGCAAGAAAATATGGACCGGTTCCACACATTTTTCAACCCTCGATTTCACTGAGTGCGGTAAATTGTTCTCAATTTGACGCGCATCCGTGTGACAGAACTGAACAGTAAAAACCATATTTTTCAGCCTTAAGATGGCTGTGAAGGCCGAAATAAATCGCTAAACTCAACAACAACTGCAAAAGAAAAAAAAGAAAAAAAGAGAGAAAAAATACCAACGACAACGAGAAATAATAAAAGTGGCGAGGTTTGTAAGGGGGGGAAAAAACAAAATCTACTTCTTGCGGTAAATGAAATGAAAATGTATCAGGCAATAATTAGCAACTGCCGGCAAATTGTAATATATTTGTGTTGAGTAAACAATAAAGCAATTTAGAAGTAATGAAATAAGAAAGGAAGTACTGATTATTGCTTGAAATTCAAACACACATTGATTATATGATGAAAACACTATTTTGGATTAATCTCTGGCTTTGCGTTAAATTAAAGTGATGACGGCTCAAACTAAAAGTAACAAAACTCTGTGATATATTAATATCGAGAGAGGGAAAATGTGTCAATCTTTTTCTTTAATTTACCAAAAATGTATCTATTATCACCATTATTGGGTATATATTTCCTCCTAACTACTCACAAATTTCCTAAATTTTTGGGCTCACGAATTTGCACAGGATGCAGGTGTAATATTAGAGCAAAAATTCGCTAGGAAGAAGAAGAAAAAAAACTGACTGTAGAAAAATTACCTGAGGTTTCCTGCCCGATGAGGCCTAGGGCGAATAATATGAGGAGACCGCACAATACGCTAATTTGAGGTCCGAACATGTCTGCGATCGCTGAATAACATTCTGAGCTTTATGTCGGAAAAATTCAAAGGCTTTCACTACTCCGGACGTTAACACTACGCTGTCATCAGCCTTGAATCGCACAAAAACATGGGTGTACGTAAATGCATCGCGTGTCGATCGCAGGACTCATTGCGTCTGATTTGGTGGGAGCGGAACCTCCATGCGTAACGCAGTCTCGATTCTCGGAAGTTCATGACACCGTTCCTCCTTCGATTCAATCTATTGCGAATAATCTAGTCGTCACACTGCGGCTTAGATTAGGTGGGGATTCGGCCGGTCGGACTTTTCGTGGGGATTCGGCCGGTTTCTGATTTATTATTCAGAGTATGGAAAGTTTGGCAACAATGCACAGAACAAACATGAATGAAACGTGGTATAAAAGAAATGAGCTATTTAACATAGTGTACTTACATATCTGAAATTTACACTTCATGTACAGTTGATAGCCGGTCCAAACATTTCTTAAGGTCCTTGTGCTCGATATATTGTAGCAAAATGTTCGTGATGCGATCATTTAGGTCCGCATATTTTTTACTCCTTTTCTTCAGCGGCATCCCGACGTTTATTTCCTGGACTTCTGGTAAAGATCGAGTGGCATCTTCTTTTAAAGTTTTTAACAACACATGAAAATTTGGTTGTTTCCTGTTAACGAGTTTGTTCAACTGGGAGTTCCAGCCTTCCACCAAATTATTTGCACGGTCACGAACAGAGGAGCAATTCCACATCTCCTTCGGGATGTTTGGATTAACGTCGGGATGCCGCTGAAGAAAAGGAGTAAAAAATATACGGACCTACATGATCGCATCACGAACATTTTGCTACAATATATCGAGCACAAAGACTTTAAGAAATGTTTGGACCGGCTATCAACTGTAAATGGACTGTAAATTTAAGATATGTAAATACACTACGTTAAATAGCTCATTTCTTTTATACCACGTTTCATTCATGTTTGTTCTGTGCATTGTTGCCAAACTTTCCATACTCTGAATAATAAATCGGAAACCGGCCGAATCCCCACGAAAAATCCGACCGGCCGAATCCCCACGCGACCGCGGCTTACACGAATAAAGATCGATTCCATCACGCACATTAGACCGCACTAAACAGGAATGGATAGCATTCAGCAAAAAGGAACCAGCGTAATGGAGATGTTGCATGTGTGAGGAATTTGCGATTTGACTGTTGATTCTTATGTGAAAGTTCGCGAGAAACACGATGGTACCACTAGTTTTCTCTGATATGAACTCCCAAGCTCAAAAAAAGCTCTCAAGTTGAGGCCAAAATGGAGGGGATATCCCACCCTACCCTGAGAGTCCACCTCTACACTAAGACAAATTCTCCATGCAAAGATAGGGAGCAATTATATTGACAGGGCTGCCACTTCATTTGGGGACTCTAAAACTGAGGACACGGCATCACTGCTGATGTATTTTCTCCCTATCTTTGCATGGAGAGTTTGTCCTGATGTAGAGGTGGACTCTGAGGGTAGGGTGGGATATCCCCTCCATTTTGGCCTCAACTTGAGAGCTTTTTTTGAGCTTGGGAGTTGATTTCAGAGAAAACCAGTGGCACCATCGTGTTTCTCGCGAACTTTTCCATAAGAATAACAGTCAAATCGCAAATTTCTCACACATGCAACATCTCCATTACAGCGTTTTTTTAAAGTCGTGCAATTTATTCTTTCCTTCTGAAAGTACTCAACATCTGTACAGTATCAAAATTCACACAATAATTTTCCTTTAAAATCTACAATTTTCTGATGGGAAGTAAAGACTATTTGCTATTCTAGGAGATATTTTAGATAATGACGGAGAGCAACATTTTTACAACACTGTAATCGCGCTAGTTCCTTTTTGCTAAACCCATATATTCTACGTCACAAACGAAATTCCCTGAGATTTTCAAAAGAATCTACGCTACCGTAAATGTACATCATTCGATGAAATTTGGCTATGACTTATGTGACTTGATCTCTTTCTGCTTCATGCAGTCCATTTGACGATATTCTTTATCTGCGATGGACAAACTCGAGCTGTATGAAAAATCAATATAAATAAATGAATAGGTAATAAATTCTCCTGAAATACTGGTTTTACTACAAATTCATGACAGATGACCGATTCATCACATCCAAAGGCACACGTTTCAACTATCCATTGCCAGAAAAAGTCATTTGCAAAACCCGCATTACAGCTTAAAGTATGCGAACGCGAAAACTCGCCGTTCAATTTGAATTATAGGATAAAATATTCTACGTTTGTATACTCCGAGTTGTATTCTCGAGTTTAAAAAATATATTCTTTGAGGAAAAACACATGAAATGTACCTCATGGCGCAATGGATACGTTTTTTGCCAAAAATTTGAAGTTAAACCGGTAATTTAGGTTCTCCGTCATGACCGAGAGAGGGAGGGGTGGATTCTTCATTTCAGAGTAACTTTTGATGACTGAAAAAAGGTCGCAGCATTTTTATTTTAAACGACTGAAATTTGGAATGCTGGGTTTTTTAGGCGTTTTAATATTATAATTTTTGGTGAGAAACTAAATTGAGTTTACCATCCATGCCGCTGTTGGTGTGTGCTACACTGGTAAAAAAAAAACACATTGGATCTAGAGTCCAGACTCTTGAAAACATTGACAAGAAAAAGGACTCTTGATTCGATCAGATTTAAGCTTAAATCAAAAGGAAATCCGCTCAAATTAAGAGGTTTGGTTCTTGATTTAAGCTTAAATCTGATTGAATCAAGAGTATTTTTCCTTGTCGATGTTTTTAAGAGTCTGGACTCTAGCTCCAATGGGTTTTTTTTTTTTTTTTTTTTTTTTTTTTTTTTTTTTTCCAGTGTAGTGAAGCTGAGAATCGGAAGTGGGATGGGGGAGGTTATTACAACCAAAGCTGAAACGTTGTAATTTTCACTTGTTTCTATACAAATTAAAATTTGAAAAAAAAAATTAATTTGTATGGATAAAAGTGTTCATAGGGCCAATAAAGTGTTAGAAAAATTGTACAGTACGCTACAACATAGTTGTAATTTTCGTCAGTAGATCGTTTCAATTCTAACTGGCGAAATTATTTATCACCAACAACACATGTCAATATTAAAATCCCAAGCTCTAATTATCAAAGGCGTACCATTGAGAACTCAAACTGACAAAATCGAACAGTTTGACGTTGGAAGTTGGCAAATTATGGCTGTATTGATTTACTTCCTTTCCGTTTTTTATAGTCTTCCTACGAATTTCAGCGTTATGTTATCCTCCAATGTTCGTTTCTGTTGAACATAGTTAGTTAGTTAATGTACATATATTTTAGGACATTCAGCGTCACAGGCTATTAACGTCTTTACAGAGAATTTTGAAATGATTCCAATTCTTCACTGTAGCATACGTGTAGGTCTTTTTTCAAAACTCTCTATGTATAAAGAGGACCAAATATATATGATATGATGTAGCTTTGCCATCATCAATAACAATTAATAACACTTATAACAATTTACTGACAAAGTTTTTTCTACAACGAGAGAAAAAATAAATCTTAGATTCTGAGTACCTTTAAGCTCCCGCGTTTTTTGCGACCTTATTTACTATCGTGGGGACGCCCTGGCTAAAGTGCGCATTACCTGTATATGCCCTTTTTGTGAATGAGACTTAACGATTGATTCGACTTTGTGCGTATCATCAACACGTCACTCAACGTTCATTATAGTTAATGACAAAAAAGAGGTAATGCCACTTCAAAAATTGTGACGCAACCCGGTTTTCGATGCGCAAGCCTGGTGCTCAAAGTAACGTCACCAGAAAATGCAAAACCTCAATGATAGTTACTCATAGGTTAAAAATACATTACCAAACGTCATAATACTTTAACAAGGTATCTACCGGTACATTATAACATTGTAAATTTTTCATTACGTATTCTTTGCTACTTCCGGAAAAGTATATTAAAAAAAAATATAATATTAAATATAACCAATATGGACAAAAAAATTCCTCTTAACAGAGACTCCCTTAAAATCCTTGCTTTCCCAAGGTTTTTTTTTTTTCACTTTTCCCTTAACTCCCATACATTTTGGACGCCAATAAAGACAGATTCTCTCAGTAGATAGATATTCGAATATAAAAAGTAGAATATGGGTATTCTAGTGGCATCCTCTAAAATATTCAGAATCTGATCGAGATTCAGCGGAAATTTGATACAATCAATTATAGATAAAAATTGCATACCGAAAGTTCGTTCTTTGCTTGAATTTATCACAAAAATATTGAATCGCCATGCCTTTACATGAAAAATCCATACGTTTTCCACACTTGTGACGTCATAGGGTGGCATTTTCCAATGGAGAATTTGCAAGGGTCTGAAATTTGATGAATTTCCTGTCTAAGTGGAATCCTCTGAGTGAACTGAACACGAAGATACTCTTGATTCATAAATTGAGCAATTATTAGAGGAGATATGACAAAATAACCGATTCTGCTAAAATACATGCGTTTAAATGGGAAATGCCGCCAGATGACGTCACAAGGCGGCGCATTTTCTCACTTTTAAATCAATTTTTCTCCAATTTCCCATGTCAGAAAAAAATTATGAAAAATGTTGCGAACTCAGCTCATTAGGCACTTTCAGATGAAGCAATAAAAAAATTGCGTGCAAATTCTCCATTGAAGATATCATACAATATTTTAAAATATTATAGAGCATCCTATCGTACCTTAAATCTTCGATTTAGACACTAGGGATATTCTCGTGCTTAGTTTACCGAGTAGTTTTCACTTGTAAACTATATCGACGGTGAAACTACCAAACCACGTATCTCGGTTTGCGACGTCGCAGACTTCCTGTCATACTTTATTTTTTAATTGAAAAATTACTCAACATCCAGTCTTGAAAATTTCTGTGATTTTTCCTCTTCGTGCGGAGAAAATTCCGTGAAAATTTCAAAGAATGATATTGATTTGGTCTACTTCAAAAAAATAAAATGTGAGCGTAGATTTTTAAACACCGCAAACGAGATACGTGGTTTGGTAGTTTCACCGTCGATATGTAATCAACTATCAGTCCCCTGCGAATTCTCCATTCCGAGCGGATATAAGCGAGAAATCGTCAGCTCCCGGTCCTAAAATGGCCGGTAGCTCAAATGGCTGGTTTTAGTTTTACTCATTTTCCTATTTGTTTTAACAATCTCTGCAATTGATTATTATGAATTTTACTTTATTTTTAAGTCTCTACCTTTCCTTTTTAA